CAACAGCGAGAGTCGAGTCTCCTCATCCGAGTTGAGGTGATATTCTGTTATTTGCTTCAGGCGTTGTCGGTAATCGACGGATGGTGTGTAGTCCTTGAAGACGGCCGTAGACCTTTTGGAGTCCTTGCCAAGCGATGGTGCGAAGGATCTGGCGAGTAGACCCCTGTGGCAACCAAGACCTGGTACTGATCAATGGGTCTGTAATAGTAACTGAGGTTGAAAAATGTCTCCTAGTCGCCTGGATCATGGCCTGAGGGGGTCGCACGCAAGGACTCATCCTAAAGCATGTCTAAGGAATGAGAGCTCAGCTGGGGAAGTATGCGTTCGAGGTTTATGCCGAAGCAGGTGTGTGGGATCCTGGCCGACGAGCTACTGGTCCTTCTATAACCTCGAGAGCGCCCGGAATTCAGTGGCGAACTGGTGCGGTTCTGATGGAGTTTATGTTGGTTGTGGTCTCATGAATAAGGAGGCAGCAACGTATCGAGTAAGTGGGTAGCCGACTTGCGCCCGGATCCGACATCCGTATTAGCTGGGGGCGAACCTGTTTACTGGGGCAAATTCAACGGTGCCAACAAAAAAAAAAGAGACTGAGACAGTCCACAAATAAAGATTAATTCTGTATTGAATCTGAAGCCATCGTCACCGTGACAGGGTGAGGTGTTTGAACCATTTGCTGGTGTTTGGCAATCTATGGTGACGTTCGCGACTTGAGGGGATTATGTAAGGCAGGGTCCGTCGACAGGGTGGAGCTCAACCATGGGGCGATACTCAACGAGGCTGTGAAATGGTCTGCCGTCACGGGCACAGGCACGAACTGCAGCGAAGATTGATGGCTATATGCGAGTCAATACTCTTGACGTTTTGACTCAATATCGCTTGTCAATGTCAGCCAATATTGTGCTGCTGTGCAGCTTGGAAAGATGCGTCGGAGGGGAGCATCCCAAGTTCGTACCACGAGGGTTCAGTCGACGGCGTGTAGGCGTACGTGTGTGCAGATGGGATAAGTCACATGAGCATGCGTTATCTAGTGATTTTAAACATACATAGATAGTATACACCGTGTCTACAAGTGTTGACTTCTTTTACATTTACCCTGTTTTCTACATCTAGATCTATGAGGCAGCCTGTGCTAGCTCATTCTTAACCCATCCTACCAACCCACCCTTTGCAATAATTGCTTGCAAATTCTCCGGGAACTCTCCAACCTTCTCCTCCCAGCGTTCACCGCCCTCACCCTCCTGCACCTCAATCTTGCTCCGGGTAATATCCCAGGTAAGAGTCCAGCCTGTACGCCGGGTGAAT